CCTCAGTGGTTAGGGCACCAGCCACATACACCGGGCTGGCAGGTTCAAACCCAGCCTGGGCCTCCTAAATAACCATGACAACTACAACCACCAAAAAAAAAAAAAAGCCAGGTGTTGTGGCAGGAGCCTGTATTCCCAGCTACTTGGGAGGCTGAGGCAAGAGAATCACCTAAGCCCAGGAGTTGGAGGTTGCTGTGAGCTGTGACGCCACAGCACTCTACCAGGGACAACAAAGTGAGACTGTCTCTAAAAATAAATAAATAAATATAAAAAAATAAAGTCTCATAGCAGCCAGTGTGACCTGGTCCCTCTGGTGTCCAGCCTCATCTCTGGCTACTCTCACTAAACTATTGGGCAGCATCATATCAAACACCTGATAGTCAACCATTTTTGACCTATAAAAATGGCAATTTTGTATGGTTCCACCCAGTATTTTCAGGTGCCTGCAGATACTCAGCTCTCCTACATCTCCACGCCTTTGCACATGCTGCTTCCCCTTCCTCGAGTCATCTCCTCCAACATCATCAGCTTGCTAGGTTCATCTCAGCCTTTATGACGGAGCTCAAACACCTCTGCCTCTGTGAGGCTGTCGCAGTCCCACCATGCTGTGTGCCATCTCTATCCTTAGTGTATGGGTCCATATGATATTTAAATTAATTTTCAGTGATCCTTCTTATGAGACTGGAAACTTAATAAGAGATCTAGATGGGGACTTATTTCTCACTTTCAGTTGCCTAGTACATGAACACAAATATGTTCTGAATTGAATTTACTTTAGCTGATAACACCCTACTTACTTCATGTACCCTTCTCAGACGGAACGAGAACTTGCACACAGACATCAGAGAAAAGTTCACACAACTGACAGCCACCTCTGTGTTACCACCCAGTGTTTCTCAGTTCCTGCCAGGAATGGATTCTCTGAAATCACTGACTGGCTTCTTCTTGATTGTTTTATTTTGTGCTGGGCGCCCTGCCAAACAATGACAACTACAACCAAAAACATAGCCAGGCATTGTGGTGGGCACCTGTAGTCCAAGCTACTTGGGAGGCTGAGGCAAGAGAATCACTTAAGCCCAGGAGT